CCAATATCAATAAATTAAACAAACTTCTCTGTGCCAGTGGTTCATACAAGATAGATCCAGACGTCAACACACTAAAAGGTGTGCATATAAATCATTAATAATGTCATAGTTCTCACCTCTCAAAAATAGTATAAAGAGGGCTTGGACACAGTCCACAAGGCAGACATCTCCAGGGCGGACATCGACTGCCACATCAACTGACTCATACCGCCACCCTATCCGTCGCTACCTCGCCATAACTGCCATGACGATCCAGGAATGTTTTTACCAACAACCCATATTACAGATCGGGAACTTAGAGATATTTTTTTTAGATATCTATTTGTATACTCTCTCTCTGAGAGGTCTCTCTCTATCATCTCTTAATTTAACTTAGAGAATAGAAATTAGATGTTCCATAAAAAAAGACAAATCATTATTGCAATGTAGAATAGAATTTTTGGAGCTCTTCACTTTCGCCTTTGATATGTACAATTTTATAGTTGTTTATTAAATGTGTTATTCTTGTTCAACCTGTGTATTTATTTGGGGACCTGTCAACTTACTCATTAACCTCCCCACTCATTTCATTTTGCCCTGCTATAAAGCCATCCTCTGACAGAGCCGCCGGTAAGTGGGGACAACTAACTCCCTCGGTTCTCACATTCCCAAACATTCTAGAACATCCCGGAACATTCTGGAATGTTGTGGAATGCTCTCGAATACTCTCGAATGTTCTGGACTATTCTAGAAATTTCTATAGGGCGAAACTTCCAGCCCTTACATCTTCAACAGCACGCCCTTCAGGTAAAAATGGGAACCTTCTTCATGGATGGGGGATAGAGGGCTACCACACCATATAACTCCCTTGATCGTACAGAAATTTGTTTTTGAGTTTTAGCAGCATGCACATTGTACACTTACCTTTATAATATATATTGATTGATGATGATGATTACTGCTTCTATTAGTATATACATTACAATTGAAAGACAACAGTAATTGTCTAATTGTTGAAAAATTACATTCAACAATTAGACAACAATTATATATATATATATATATATATATTAAGCTATATATGCTATATATAATTTATAAACTAATATTTACTTACTCTCAAATATAGTAAATCAACATGTGTTTCCATGTCAAAATTTGAAATGTAGTTAGTTAGTAAAGTATATCCATCATCCAATATTTTCATATAATTTTCATTCAATTCCTAAAAACATATTAAAAATAAAACATAAATAATAAATATAGTTTTGAAAAAATATATAAAAATAATTAAATATAGAAAATTTAATGTATATTATGAAATTGTATTTAATAGATTTATATTAAAAGTCTCTTGTAGCATTGATCCCAGACCAAAAGAATAGAGCAGAACAAGTATTATATAAATCAACAGCATCAAAACAGAGGAAAATAAAATTAATAATATATTAAAAAAAGGCAAGTGTTACGTACAGAGTTATAATGTAAAAAGCCATTCACTTACATTGGAGAGACAGGGAGAGTTACATGAAAGAATTAACAAACATGTTAGAACAATAAAGTATGATTATAAGAATTCAAGTAAAACTAAACATTGTGTGAAGAACGGATGTCAGATTGATCTTAATACATTTAAAGATTGTTCAATTAGAGAGGAATATAATGAAGAGAAAGTTATATGAACACTTAGTAATAGTTAGAAATAAAAAACTTTTATAATTAATGAATGAGAATTGATGGAGTAAATTTGCATGAATTGTAGAATTGGTTTTTGGCTAATAGGGGGCAGGAGGGGAGACCTTCTGGTTGTTGTAGGAGTGTTGTCAAATGATATGGAAGGCAACAAATATTGCAATAGATATATTGGGTACTGTGGAACTTGCTATACACTGTTTTCTATATATTAAACCATTGTTTCTTGTTAACAAGTGAATTAAGTTATTTTCCACAACCCAAACCAACAACTAAATTTTTACATCTCACAATATCCATAAACTGCAAAGCTATATCATCAGTCATCATGCAAACATCAATCTATTTCATCACCACCAACTATATTAGAAATAATATTAAATTATATTTGAATTTTATTTTTTAAAGTGCACTATTGGCCACCTTAGGAATTTGCCCACCTGCATGCATGCATGCACCACATGTCTATCAGAACCTGCCCTATCTGCAAGTACTATGTAAAATGAAATTCTGCATAAATTTGTACTCCATCCCAACCCAAGTAAGTAGTCCCAGATGATTGCCTGAACATTTATGCAACCATTTACGATTATCAGAAAATATTAAAATGTGTTGAAAATGTGTTTTACTTATGTTTTTACTATAAAGCATATTTTAATCCAGTGTTTGTAAATATACATAGAAAAATTATATTATACAATACCAAATACTTAAGAAAATACATGTAAATTGAGGTATTTTCATCATGAATAGCATTCAATAGTTCTCTGTGTTTAGAATGTCAGAACACAGAGTTAAGAGTTAGATTTAGTGGAACCAAGAGTGGGTTAACAGATTTGTGTTTTTGTGGATGGTAAATGTAATTTAGCATCCACAAAAACATAAATCTGCACATAACAATACTGCATAAAGTAAGACTCACTAATAAAATAGATGGTTTAATAATATAATTTAAAATTTTAAATTTTAGATAAATTTGCTTAAAAAACATATTAATATGTATAAGCGAGTCAATATTTGAGCCAAAAATGAATGAATGCAACATCAGAAAACTAAGTTTGCTAGAACTATCTTTGATTCTTCCTTACAATCAGTTTGAGTCAAAACAAAATTGTTCCATCCTTTTAAAAATTCTAACTTACTATTTGTATGGAAAACTTTACATATATTAGACATTAATCCATGTAACTCTCCAATATTAGATCCCATAGCATTGTCTTTTTTCACTTTAAAAAGTTCTAAAGTAGAAGGATGTATCTATTAACTGGCTTTATTTAAAAACTAACCTAATTGCCACTTTCTTTTTTTAATATTTCCTCCATATATGAAGTACTTTCATATCTTATCATAGTTTTAACATATTTTTTGTAAATAAGAAAAGTATTTGTGAGATCCGAATAGCCCCCGGGTCTAAATTAATAATTTAAGAATAATGTTAAAGTTTTGTCATAAATTATTCTTTTATTTTGGGTGGAAAAATAACGTTTTCTAGCGTGGGAAAACAGCTAGGAGAGTCACTTCCTTCCACGGAAGTTAGAACATCCTCTGTTTTTCCATTATCTGCTAAAAATCTCGCTTTGATGGGAACTGTATACCCCTCATTTCATCCCCTTCCCATCCGTTCACGTGGATGAAGCCTCAACTGATAATTGGTTGTCAATCAGAAGATATAGGGGAAGTTCAACCGAATTCGAGGAGTTCATCAGCAGACCTGAAAGAGTCAGGACTCCACATATTTGCTCTCTAAGGCCAACGCCCTTAAGAGTTCATCGGCTGACCTGAAAGAGTCAGGACTCCACACATTTGCTCTCTAAGCCATCGCCCTTTGGAGTTCGTCAGGAGATATCATAGTAGAAAGAAGTCTCCATATTGTCTCCCTAAGGCCGTCGTCCTTAGTTAGGAAGTTCGTCAGAAAATCTCATAGAGGAGAGACGTCTCCCATATTGGCTCCACACCACCTAGAAGAGTTCGTCCATAGATTGGAGAGTGAAAGGACTCCATACATATGCAAACAGACCAACACCATAGTCATCCCCGAACAAGTTATTCCTAAGTTATCAATGAAGTACCTTCGCCGAATAAGAAGACGACACTGCCAAGTGAACAGGTCGTATATTTAAGACTAAATTGTAAGCTCTCTCTCTCGTAATTGTACAGATTGAGAATATTACTCTCTCTCAAAAGGGTTATAGACTAAGAATAGATTTCCTCCTGTCACGATTGATATTGATTATTCATTCTTTGATTGATTGTTTTGAATTATTTGATTATTTCTTATTCTGTATTAATACTGTTTATTTTGTTTATTAAAGTCTCTATATTTTGTTTAAGAGATGTCTCTGAATTATTTCCTGAATCAGATCGATGGCATAAATTTCACACGTGTTTATCCGCGTTACGAAAAGTAGATAAACTGGTGTCGGGAACCTGACAATTTGGATATAGACTACACAGTCTTTAATCCTCATAAAGCTGAATATTACAGCCCTCCTATGTAAACTTCTAAGATCAGATCTAGTGATCTGAAACTTTAGAGAACTAGTCTCACCGACTAGCAGCCGATTAAGTGATACTAACTTCCTAGCGGATTAGTACCCACGGCAACTCTCACATATTTTATTTATTTATTTTTCATGTTTAACAATTACGTAATAATTTTCAAAGAATTTTTAAAAATTTAACATAATTTATTTTTAAATTTTGTCTAATGACAATAACATTTTAAGTTATCAAAAATATTTTTAAACTTTATAATTTCTGTGTTTTTGTATTTTATTAGTTAAAGTTAGTTAATGTTAAAAGACAGTTTTCTACCTTATTTGAAAACAATTTTAACATTATATGCTGTTCCTATATTTATGAATCATTCAATTATAAGTTATGTCTAAAAAGATTTGTTTCAAAGTTTAAGTCTGAAACTACAAATTTAACGTTGTCAAATACTATATATTTGATTTGCTTAGCCTCATCAAAAGTTATCTGAAAAGCTTTTTAAGCTTTTTGTTCAAACGTTTATTTATATATACAACTGTTTGTTATTTTTATAATAAAATGTAATTTATTTTACAACTGTGAAATAATATTTAATTTTTCTGTTATTGCATTCACTGTGCTTATATTATGACAATGAGAACCCATTTACTGAAGAATGTTTCATAAAATGAATACTGTAGATTCCTAGAATCCTAAGAAAATAAAGTATGAAAATTTAAAAAATCTAAGGAAAATTAATAACTAAATTTTAAATAATTATGAGAAATTCACTATATCCTTATTTTTATGAATTAATATTAAAGATTTCATTTATAACATAACTGAATTATACTTACATATGCATTTAGATTCTGTTAAAATATGATGAGGTTGACAAATTGAGCAATCACGACCGAAAATTCCTTCTTTACAATGGCACTGTCCCGTTATTTTATCGCATATTTGACTAATTGATCCGTATGAATTGCAATTACATGACTTACAAAATCCGTCTTTTTTAAATGGATTTCCATAGTAACCATCTGAGCATCTATTAAATTTATATATCTTAATATTTTTAATATATATAAAATTAATATAAATTTTTAACATTATTT